GTTTTGCTGCACTGGTTGTTGTGACTAGTTTAGAGGGGTGCCGAAGAATTACCCCCATCTCATTCCCTAAGGGAAACTGTGTGGAAAATCGGCAGTCTGCTTACTATGATCTAGTGTAACAGCCTGCAGCCAAAATCATGCAAGGACTCAGAGGTGGGAGGGACCTCGGTGCGGATCTTCACCAGCCTTCTGGTCATAATGCAAGATTTGTGCAAGGCTCACGTGAACAGCATGAACACGGTCCATTTCTCCCAAATCAGGGACTATCTATGATAATGAGCAAGAAAAGAATAAAAAGTATTCTCAACAAGTGGAGGAAGGCTCCTTATAAACAAATACCTAATTACACGTAAAATATTTTACAGTGTTATATAAATCTTAGGAAGAATAAAGCCAAGGCTTAAAATGTGTTAGCATGAGGACATTTTTATTTCCACTTGCAGATGACTTGAAAGTGATGCTTTCAGAAAGGGTCAGCCTTATGCAAAATTCTGAAGTAGGCAATTCCATCTCAGCTTCCTACTTCTCTGCACTTTTTCCTTTGAGGATGGCATGAGGTATCACAGAATAGTGGAATGAGCACAGGCTTTGGATGACACAGCTCTGGTATGAATCCCAGCCCTGTCCCTGACGAGCTATGACCCAGGCAGGTCACTTAGTCTCCTGCCTTTATTTCCTCGGCCGTGAAAAGTGGATCCCGACTCACAGGCATTGTTGCAAACATTATACCTGAGAACGTGCTGGTCCTTCAGCAGACACTCAGAAATGTCACCTCTTCTTCTTTCCTCCTAATGGCTCCCTTGTTCCCCGAGAAGGCTGTGCCCTAGTAATTGGCACATCCCTGCTTCCTCTCACCACCACCACCCATTAAAACAAGCTTCCAGGAAGGGATCTAAAAATGATTAATGCTCTAGTGAAATGACCAGCAAGAGCTTAATGAACTGTCTCCCTGGTCTATGTGTTTTTTTGCTTTTTTTTTTTTACAAAAATCCATGCTCAAGGAGTAAACTGCTAATGATAGAAATCCAGGCACAAAAGGAAAAGCCAGGAAGTATTTTGAAGGCAGCCAGTCTTTTCTGGAAACTCTAAAACTAGACAGATAAGCAGATAACTCCAGTGGCAGGGTCACCATAGAATGTTCCAGAAAGACACTGCTTCTTGGAATTATCACTGGCCTTTGCTAAATTGCCTCCCCTTTTCCTATTGATTGCCAAACTTTATGTATCTACAAATGGAGGATTTCTCATTTTTACTTAGATTCTAAATGAGTCCGGTAATCGAGATACCACCAGAGCACGAGGTAAAAGCAGAAAGACTGGTTGAGGTTGAGCTCTTGTTATAAGCAATATCCGGGCCATAATCAGAGCTGGCGAAGAAAAAAAACACAGGGGGAATAAACCAGGAAAAGGATCAACTATTTGCTCTCACCACTGTGGAAGTGGTGTGAGGCTTTGCTTTAGTGTCACGTATCTAAGAGTTTAAAGAATTTTCTGAAAATTGTTGTTTTAAAATGGCAAGGGATGCCTGTGAAACAGTGAGGTCCCCATCCTAGGAAGGGTCCATGCAGAGGTGGATGGCTGTCACTGTGGGATGCCATGTACGGAATGCTGGCACGGGGCGGAAGCCTGCCCTAGATGACCTGGAACGTCCATCTAACCCTGTGTCCTACGATAGGTTTATAAAAGCAGCAGCAAACGAAAAGAATAATAGTTTCAAATTTTCTATAAAATGTAGGTTATTACTGAAGATGGACCCCATCCATCCTCCCTAGGTTAACCCTAATCAGGAACAGAGAGGAAAATCTGATACATGTGACAGTCACACATTTTAGATTGCATCTTGCCGACTAGAAGACTCCATGGTATTTTTGTTTTAGTGCGTGTGGTTTCTCACACGACTTTGGACATGTACTCTCCCTGCCCCATGACATTTAGGAACCACAGACTGTGGCACACAGAAGCTTGGTTCTGAGCTGTATGGCCACTAACACAGGCACGGATGCTCACACACGTATCCTCCATACCGAAGCCACCCCCAGCTCTTTCAAGGTCTTCGAAAGCGCAGTTGAATTACTGGTTTTCTGTGCCCTTTCTGAAGTAAATGAGTGCTTTTCTTGATGGGTTTATGTTCAAGGGCTCTCTAGACGAACTCTCAAGTCCATCTGGAAAGCCCTTGAACATGAGCCCTTGAAATTTTTGTGTCACTTTCAACATCTCTGTTCTCACTCTAGGATACCGCAGTCCAGAAGGAATTAGGAGAAAAGAGGGTTGGGGTTCACTACTGATACTCAGGACCAAGCAGTAAGCTGAGATCAGGGCTTTCTGGTGGGCAGGGAGACTGGGAGGGTGGGGCACACGGCCTGACTTTAGACGAAGGCGTCTGCAGATACTGATCCCTTCCAGCCCGAAGGAGGATGCAGGAAGGAACTAAAGTAGGGATGGAGAACTGGCTCTACTGAATCAAGTATGAACCTTGTGGCTTCTCTGTTTTATTTTTAAAAATTTAAACCACACAGTTCGAGGTACTTATAAAAGACAAACACAGGGTTCAAGGTAATTACAAAAACGTATAAGTCAAAACACATTAATGGTTTGCAAACAATCCATTATTTTGGATTATCCACATCATTTTCCTTTTCATTAGAACAGAACATCAATAGTTGATGACAGGCTTCTACAGTCATGGCAGAACAAATCCAAACTTAATTCCTATTTCACTTGTTTATTTTCATTCCTCCCTTCTCACATCGTCTTTTCTCCTTTTTCCGTCGTGTCTCTTCCATTTATTTCCTACATTCACTTTGTGTCCTTCCATCTCATTTCCCTGTACTTTTTTCCTCCTCCTTCGTATCTTTTCCTCCTCCACTACACACTCCATCCTCCCCTTTCCTACGGCTTCTCTTTCACCCAGTTCCTACCCCTTTTAAGTAGGTTATCCAGCTATCGCTGAATTTCCTGAAGTCTTTTGGGTCTCCTCTTCCAAATACTCTTTTATTTCTCATAGGTACCCTGCTCTTTTCTACTGTCTCTCAGTACTTTCAGTATTTGCCACCTGCTATTATCCTCTTCGGTGCAGCCTTACTTTGCTTTCCATCATATCTTGTCAGGTACTTTTTCCTTCTTATTGCATCCCCTGGGGAAAATGGTGGGTGGAGGTGGTGGTGGTGGCTGGAATTGTAGAGAAAAATATAAAATTTACATTAAAGCTGGAGTTACCAGACAGCAACAGTTTGTGGAGCCCAATTCCATACTCTTTGCACCTGTCACACAGTTGAGATTTTGGAATAAACTATGTATGCCACCCTTGTTATCAAATATTTGAGAACAATTAGCTCTGCTGGCAAAAAATGATTTATACTGGAAATTCTAGGAATGTCTTGTAGGTATTCTTTTTCAAGTGAATTTTATGTTTCTTTTTCATGATACCTCCACTAATTTGGTATCATGGGTGGGTACATTGCTGAGGAGCATTGGGGAAGGGGGCTGCAGAGTATGAAAGAGAAAAATCTATGCCCCTAATATTTCAGAAGAATGCGTTCAAAAAAATGTAGGTCAAATAACTGGTTTCTCAAATTCAAGACATAATTCCTATTTTTTCTACAAAATTTGTTGGGGCAAGAGAAAAGGTGATTTGATACCACCTACAATTTTCTTTCTCCAAAAAGGAAATAAAATTTATCAATCCAATCCAATGTCTATTGTTCTAGTAATAAGACACTGCTAAACAGGTGCATCCTGTTTCACTGAGCAGGTAGATGGTTTACATAGAACCATTTAGGCAAATCCTTCCCTCTTTAAATATGGTATATTGCTGCCTGCCAGTGAGTAAACCTAAAGTGGGTTATTTGGTTAGTCTTTACATATTATTTTATTATGAGACTGCCCTTTTCCTTCTCATCTACCTTTCATCAGGCTCAGAAATACAAAAACTCTCCTTTTTGAGTTTTCATGGCACAGCAGTCATATAGCTTTGAGTCTCACCTGCTCACTGCCTAATGAGCCCTGAAAACTTACAGACCCCTGTCCAGAGCCACTGTTTCCTAACGGGAAGGCTGACCATGCACGTGTTCATTCAAAGCTGATGTGGATCTGTCTATACTTTAA